GGTCTTGTTCTGAACATGCTCACACACAAAATGGCAATCAATATCGATATGTTTTATGCGTTTGTGGAAGACCGGATTTGTAGTGATGTGTATGGCTGATTGACTGTCATAGAAAAGCTTTATGGGATCAGAAATGGGAATGCTAAGTCTTGGAGTAAACGCTTAAGCCATAATAACTCGTTGGTGGTAACAACCATGGCTTGATATTCAGCTTCTACATACGAGCATGACACAGTTGTTTGCTTCTTAGTTTTCCATGAAATGATAGAGTTTCCAAGTAATGCAACATAACTTGTAGTGGACCTCCGAGTTAACGGACAAGAGGCCCAATCGGAATCACAATAGATTCGGAGTAGCATCTCATTGTTTGACAGAAAGAATATTTCATGATTGGGATTGGCTTTGATGAATCTGACTGCTCTTTTAGCAGCTTCCATATGTTTTGTGCACGACTTGCTTAAGAATTTTGTTAGTATGTGCACTAGAAAATAGGGTTCTGGCTTGGTGACTGTCAAGTAAACTAGCCGACCCACTATGCACCTATACTAACTTGGATCATTTTACAGAGGGCTATTGTCATCAACAAAGTGCCTTTGTTGCACCATAGGATGTGATGCAGGCTTACAATCCTCCATCCTTATATCAGAAATGATGTCCAAAGCATATTTATTCTGACATACGAAAATTCCAGAACTGCTATGCATAATTTCTAAGCCCAAGAAGTATTTGAGTGGGCCTAGGTCTTTCAAGGAAAAGCATTTGTGGAGATGTTTCTTGAGATCACTTATGTGGGATGGATCATTTCCAGTTATGATCAGGTCATCAACATACACCAAAACCATAGTGAATGGCTCATTTTTCTTTGATGTGAAGATTGAGTAATCTGTTGTGGACTAATTGAACTCAATGCGTGTCAATGCGTTTGCAAAATTCTCATACCAGCACCGTGAGGTCTGTTTAAGCCCATATAAGGACTTGTGTAACTTGCAAAATTTATTCTGTGGTTGCTTGGGAAAGCCGGGAGGTATACTCATGTACACATCTCCTGCCAAATCCCCATTCAAGAAAGCATTGTTCATGTTCAACTGGTGGAGTTCCCAACCCTTTGATGCTGCTATAGCTAATAACCATCGAAGTGTGACTAGCTTCTCCACAGGAGCATATGTATTGTGATAATCATATCTCTTAACCTGGTTATTTTCCTTTGCTACTAGACGGGCTTTGTAGCGCTCTATCATGCCATCAGCACAGTATTTTAGTTTGTACACCCACTTTTCTCCAATGGGTTTCTTTCCCGGAGGAAGGTCGATTATGGACCATGTTTGATTTCTCTTAAGCGTTTGTATTTCTTCATTCATGGCTTGTTTCCAATTTAGATCATGGGCCGCCTGAGCATATGATTTGGGCTCAATGGGTTCAGATGAGGTTAGGGTTGAGGTGAATGTGGTATGTGGTATGTGGTAGGTTACAAATGAAGTCCTTGAGGTGGGCAGGTGGTCTTCTAGCACGTTGAGGCTGAGATAGTTCAACATGCTGGGAAGGTGGATGCAGGTCTGTCTCGACATTATCTAGGGGTGTCACAGACTCAGTGGACTAGTTTGAATGGTTAAGCATAGTGGGTTCCATCTATTGTTCGGTCTGAGGAAGCGGAAATACAATGTTTAGATTCTGGTTTTGGCTAGATGAATCATTGGCATATGGGAAAGTATCTTCATAGAAGGTTACATCCCTTGAGGTGAAGATTCAATGAGTCTCGAGGCTATATACTCGGTACCCTTTCTGTCTGTATAGATAGCCAACAAATATACATCAGGTTGCCCGAGATGCAAATTTATCTGTCTAATGGTCGCTCCTGGGCATAGCACAAGCATCCAAATGTGTGCAAGTGATTGAAGGTGGGAGGCCTTCCAAAAGTAACTCAACTAGGGACTTACCTTGAAGAGGAATGGCTTAGATGATTAATTATGTATGCTGTAGTGAGCACACACTCACCCCAAAATCTGATTGGTAGTGAATCTTGAAACCACAAAGCGCGGGCAACCTCTAACAAGTGTCTGTGTTTTCTCTTAGTTCACTCATTTTGTTGCAAGGAGTTGACACAGGTCCTTTGATGCATAATCCCATTTTGAGCAAAGAATAACCGAATGAGATCAGAAAGGAATTCTTTTCCATTATCATATCTAATTTGTTGAGCATTACATTTGAATTGAGCTCTTACCATGTTACAAAATGAGACAAGTAATGAAAAGTTTCTGATTTAAACTTCATCAGATACAACCAAGTACATCTGCTATAATCATCTACAATGGTCAAGAAATACCTTGCGCCTGAATGGGAAGGAACGTGATAAGGACCTCATATGTCAACATGTATCAATGCAAAGGCTGAAGTTGCTCTTGATGGCTTTATTGGTAATGAAACTCTAGTATCTATTGCTCTTTCACAAGCATCACAAACTCCATTACTGTTATCTGTGATATGCCTATTTAGTATTAAAGATATCTGACGAGTAAGAGCATGCCCGAGCCTATTATGCCATGAGGTATATCCATCTTTGTTTGTATGTGATGTGCAAGCCGCTACTAGAGCACCAGGGTCTAAGCAGTAGACTCCATCAAACAGATGTCCCTTACCAATCATCTTCAAGTGTTGGTCCTATAACACATAGGATGTCGAAGAAAAGAAAGCAACACAGTTTAACTGTGTTGTGAGTCTTCTTATAGACAAGAGATTATACTTAAACTTAGGCACATATAGTACATTTTGAATTACAAGGTCAGGCCTCTGTGTGACCATTCCTATATGAGTGGCGCATAAGAGATCATTATTCGGCAACCTAACAGAGAAAGGGTTTATTAAGGCTTCACAGTGGGTGAACAAGGTTCTGTCAGGGTCATATGATTTGAAGCCCTACTGTCCAAAATCCAAATGCTTGAATTTATTAAAGGAGTGAAAGGATCCTTACCAGTCATGGTTGAAGTAGCGAGCGGACCCTGACTATCATTACTTAGTAGCCTCAGCAATTGATTATACTGGTCTATGGTGAGGGATACAGGTGCTACTTCTTGAGATCCAGATGATTCACCTTTTACACAAGCTGCATGGGCTGATTTTCCATTCTTGGATCCATTCTTGGAATTCTTGGTTGATCGACCCTTATCCCAACCTTCAAGATATCCGATGAGTTCAAAACACCTATCTTTGGTATCCCTATTCTTTTGAAATATTTACATCTGGTTTTGGGTTTGGTGGGATTTTCATTACTTCAAATACCAAATTTATCCACATAGAGTGCAGTAGCAGTGTCGATCAGTGGCGCCTTCTGAGAAACCATGGCTTGGTATCTTTCTTCTTGTATGACCATGGCATAGGCATGGTTCACATTTGGAATGGGCTCTATTGCGAGGGTGGTAGATCGGCTATTGTTGAAGGTGTCCGCAAGACCCATCAAGAACTGTAGAACTTTATCTTTCTCTCTTTTTGCAATCAACCTTCTTGCGTAACCACAAGAGCATTCCCGAATTTTTAAAAGAACTGCAATCTTGTCCCAAAGACCCTTCATCCCTGTGAAATAGGAGGTCACAAACATGGTTCCTTGGTGTAATAGAGAAAGATCCTGCTTCAGTTGATATAATCAGGGACCGTGTCCCTAGGAAAATCTTTATTCAAGATTAGACCTAATCTCCATTGCAGAAGTGACAATGCTGTTGCATTTGACCCATGCTCTCACTTCTGCCGGAGGTTCTTCAGGTTTCAACATTGTTCCATCGACAAAGCCAAATTTGTTTTTGAATTCTAGTGCGATCCGCATCGCTTTCTGCCATGTTGGGTAATTTTTTCTTGTGAGCGGAGACAAAATCAGGACTGCACCAGGGTTGTTGGATGGATGCAAATAGTATGGTGAGGTTGGATCAAGATCAAACATTGGCTGATGCCGACATCATTTTGTAGCGGTATGGGGTTGGATTGAAGTAGAACTTGATTAAAGCTCTAATACGATATCAAAATTAGGAACAAAAGGAAGAAATTCTGTAATTTCATTATGCGATGAAGTTACATATTTATACTGCGACGAGGTCTTGGCTATGATTAAGTTATGAGGTTACGAATTGTCTAACCGTGTAACTGTGTAACTAACGTCCAGCGGTCTAACAAACTGACAACTGGATAATAATAGAATACAATAACAGAATATTAATCCTAATATTGGGAGGGGTATTTTGGTTATTATAAAGTCATTTATCACTTTACCTAAATACCCCCCTAAACTAGATATTATATAGTTGTTAGGGGACATTATTGTCATTTTATCTCCTCCAAAAGCCAAAATATATAAATACCCCCTATATAGTTGTTTATAGTTGTTGGGGGGGGGGTATTTCTGTAAAGAAAACCCCCAAAAGTTGAAACTAGCCGTTAGGGGGGTTCCAATGCCCAACGGCTAGTTTTTTGGATGGGTTGAGCGTGACCCATTAAGGGCTTGCAAGCTGGACTGTGTGCCTCGGGCCATGCTGTGCCGTGAGCCATGGGCGTCATGACATGACAGTGTGGGCCATGCCGGCCTGGCCCACCGACCTGAAACCCCAAGCCTTGCATGGCCCATCGGCCCATACAATCATGCTGAGCCGCAGCACGACGCGTGAACCATCAGGTCGGGCCAACTCAAAGCTCCATAATATCATATCTTTCTTCTATTGCTGATAATTTCTTTACCCACTAAATGCCAAACCACAACTGAATGAATTGGCATGGCATCATTGGTCCAATAGATGATCTTCTCCTTATTGGCCTGGAGAGGGTTTGGAGCGTGGAACTTTATGAAACACCTTCCCCCTTTACATGGGGACACAAATGATCCATGTAGAAACCCTTCTTTCCTACCTCCTTATTGCTGATTTAATTACCCATCCAATTCGCACATGCTAATTGATTATGTTTCTTCTCTCTCCCTCTCTCTCAAATTGAGATTGTTCACCAGAGACTCTCTAACACAGATGGAGATGGAGAAGCAATCAGAAACTGCAGTAGCCGAGATGAGGAAGACAGTGGAGAAGCTTGGATCATCTACTGAGGTTCCATACATATACCCCTCCCCCTCTACAATCTCCGTATGACTCCATGCCTCTTAGGCTCATTTTGGAAGGAGTATAAATACAAATATGTAGAATGCAAAATCTTATATTTTGTATGTATTTATACTGTACATATTTGTATTTGTACTCTTTCCAAACTGAGTCTTAAGAACATACACTTCTGACAATATCAATCCTTTGTTTAATCACAGAAACACGGAGACCCAACGCTTATGAGGTTCTTGGTTGCAAGACCAATGGACCCAAACAAAGCCGCCAAGATGTTCGTTCAGTGGCAAAAGTGTCGAGCCGAATTCGTTCCTTTGGGATTCATCCCTGAATCTGTAATCCCAGATGAGCTGAATGCTCGTAAGGTATATCTACAGGGCATCACTAAAGCTGGACACCCCCTCGTGATCGTAAAAACGAGAAGACATTTCCCTCCCAAAGACCACATCCAATCCAAGAGTGAGTAAAACAGCAAGAAGAAACTCATGAATGAAGAATTCTTAATTCCCTGTTTGCCTCTTCCTTTTTTTGCCCCTCATCATTTAAAAACTTGTTTTTGCTTTTACAAGTAATTGGTGCAAGCCAATAAGCCACAGACCATCCCCTAGGCGATCTCTGGATGGATTTAGGGGGTGTTCGCCAGTATGTCTGATTTTTCATGGCTCAGTTCCGAAAGAACACATACAAATATGTACAGTGTAAATACATACAAAATAATACAAAATACAAGGTTTTGTACCCTATAAATTTGTATTTGTACTCATTCCAAACTGAGCCCAAAGAAAAATGTTGATTAATAGAATTGTTTTGGTTTTGTTTTTGCAATAGCTCTGTTTTTTTTTTTTTTTACAAAATCATATATATATATATATTGGCAAACACTCCCTTCGTCGGTGTGTCTGATTTTGTTTCCAAAGAAAAAAATGTTGATTAATATAATTATTTTGGTTTTGTTTATGCAATAGTTCTGTTTTTTTTGGTTACAAAATCATATATATATATATATATATATATATATATATATATATTAGCAAACACTCCCTTAAGATCATTTGTATTCAGCTCAAATTTGCACTGCAAACAAATAAAGCCTAAGCAATGCTGCATCATGGGCCTTTGTCAACCATCGAGATCGATCTTAAATCAGAAATTGAACTTTTATAGTATTTAGGTAGAATTTTATCACCATCTGACTATTTACATCAAACATTTTAGATGTGAATATAAGCTAATTTTCTGTATATTTGCTAGTTGGTCCTAACTCCTAATCATCCTAATCTAGGAATGAAAGCAAATTATGGGCTAGGCACAAAACTGGTCATAGGTCATGTCTCCTTGGACCTAGAGGTGTCAATTGGACGGATTTGGTCCAACCCGATCCAGTCCAATGTCCAACCCGATCCAGTCTAATGTGATTCCACTTATAAATGAATTAGACCCAATTCAGTCCAAATCCAATACAAACCAAAATCCAATCCAATCCATTAAAAATTAAATGGATTGGATTAGATCCAATCCAAACCGAATGAAATATCAAATATTATATAAAAGCATTTTTGGCATTGAAAAAGTACTTTTGTAAAGTACTTTTAGAAAAGTACTTCTAGACTTTTATAAAAGTACTTTTGTAGAAGTGCTTTTGTAAAAGTACTTTTACAAAAGTGCTTTCATGAGAGTGTTTTTATAAAAGTACTTTCATAAAAGTGCTTTCGTAAAAGTGCTTTTGAAAAAATGCTTTCGTAAAAGTATTTTTAAGTGTTTTTATAAAAGTATTTTTGTAAAAGTGCTTTCGTAAAAGTTCTTTCATAAAAATGCTTCAATAAAAGTGATTTTATAAAAGCACTTCTATAAAAGTGCTTTCGTAAAAGTACTTTTATAAAAGTACTTCTGTAAAAGTGATTTCATTAAATTGCTTTCATGTAAAAGTAGTTTTGTAAAAGTGCTTTCATTATTAAAATGCTGTTATAAAACTACTTCTATAAAAGTGCTTTTATAAAAGTACTTTTATAAAAATGCTTCGGTAAAAGTATTTTATAAAATTGCTTTCGTAAAAATACTTTTCATAAAATTACTTTTATAAAAGTGCTTTTATAAAAACGTTTTCATAAAAGTACTTTCATAAAACTGATTTTATGCTGGCTTCAGTTTTGATTGATTTCAAATTGGACAAGGGTTTGGCCTCATGATCGAATTATTAGAAATTTGGTTTAGGTCCAATTCAAACAAATAATAATATAGACCAATTTATTTTAGATTGACCCCATCCAATAATTATAATGGACTATTCAAATCCAGTTTGATAAGATTTGGATTTGAATCCAAATCAAAACCGATCGATTGATACCCCTACTTGGACCCAAGTTATGGGCCCATTTATAAGGCTCTCCTGTTTGGATTTGCCAGAGGAAATTGGTTGGGCCATTTAGCAAACTTCCCTGATTGACCCAATTAGAAAATCCTCTTTCTAAACAGAAATAGCATGGATACTAGCTAGCAGTGATCTATGATCAGCATGGGAACAATTATTTTATTTAACACTTAAAAATGTTTAACTATTCATGAGCTTAAAAATATTAAAATATATAGGACTCATCTGATGGTTACATTTGTTTGGTAGTGTAAATATTACTTCTCAAAAACTGATATAAAATTTGCATCATCTTTCTCCGGACTACATCACTTTATTTCTCAAAAATAAATAAGACAAAATCAAATCTAAAGCAAACCTCAAAGTAATAATGATAAATTTTGTTAGTAGGAGTAAATGTCTGATTTTGCTTTTTTGAGAAATGGTAATCAAACATTTATCTTAATTTGTTGTCTGTTATCGTGCAGAATTTGCGGTGTACATTCTAGACAAAACAATTGCAAGGTAAGAAATTAGATCTCGTAGCGATTAATGCTCCTCTAAGTCACTACCGAAGAACAGAAATCACAGAGAGCAGCGTTACTATATATTGTGTATGTAATATTGTTCGCAAACACAAACACGAAAGACTTTAATTCTTTGGCCAAACACAAAGACAAAACCAAAAGATACAGTTTCTTGCAGTCACTTACTAGATGGCATGTTTCATTATCATTGTCATTTAAGTAGAAGGATTATTGCGTTGGTTGATAACTGTGATTAGGTTACTTTTTCACTATGCGTTTTTTTATTAAAAAAACTGTGATTATGTCTAATAAATAGAATTATGATATTATTTGGGTTTATTTGATTTATAACCGAAATTACAATTAAAATCTTTTGGAATCGGAATCGAAATAGTTTATTTCCAGTCTGTTTAGTTCAGACAGGAATTTAAGTGGGAATTAAAATAAATTGGAATAGGATTTCATTTTCAAGGGAGGGGGAGGAAATGATCATTCTTTAAATGGGTCAATGCCATTCCGTCAGGAATGGGAATAGGATTCCAGTTCCACGTTATGAAACAGTTGGAATTGGAATGACCTATTCTAATTCCAATTCTGAACCCCTATTCCCACAAACCAAACAGGCCCTTAATCCGTAAACCCTACTTATCAGATGAGTTCAGATATGTTATGCACAACACGCAACCCAGCTGCAGTATTTACCTTGTGGGTAGAAGATCCGAACCCACCTGATAGGTTGGGCCCATGGACTAGATATTACAGCGTCTTGTTGTTGTCATTTGTCTTTCACGGAGAGATGCTTCAAATGTGTAGCTATAGTGTCTTGTGGGTAGTGTGTGAATAGCAGATCAAATAGGGTATAAGGAGAGACCATTATCAATTTAAATTTAAGTCTTCTATGAAATTGGAAGAAAAGAAGAGAGATTCAGAATTGGTTGTTTTGAACAGTCAAACAAATCAAATGACCAATGATTGATGAGTGAACATACTAGTGTTCCATAAACATATTGTGTGTGATGCGAGCCCATGTATCGGTAACACTGGCATGTTCACTTGTGATTAGTTATTTATGTAGTCCATTATACATATTTATATTTGCAATAGATTCATATTGGTGATCCATGCATTAAATCTTAAGGGATTTTTGGACTGCACTCTCCCTCAGAAATCTTTTTTGCAACCCTCTCCTAGTCTACTAATAACCTGCCCTCCCCCCCTCCTATAAACCACATTGTGCCCGTGAATTTGACATCAATCCACGGTCAGGATTTAGTCCACCCCTAAGTGGAGCTAGGATTTCCTAGGAATGGACTGAATCATAAAAACCCCTATATCAATATCTTCTAGGAGGCTGTTATGTGTATAAAGATGGTCATAAGGGCAAATATTTCTTTCACCTATTCTATAAATTCCACGATGATAGAAAAGTATCTGTTATTTCATGTAAAAATGTAATAGATAAACAACTTTCATGTAAAATTCTCTTCATTGAAACTTTTTCCCTGCCTTTTTCTTCCTTTGAAGATGGATTTTGTTATCTTGATTTTGCTTTTTGGGGACATTTCAGTTCTCTCAAGGGAAGAGAAATAGGGAATGAGAAGTTGATTGGCATCCTTGATTTGCAACAAATTACACTTAAGAATATAGATGCACGTGCTTTAATTACTGGTTTCCAATTTTTGCAGGTAAACATGTACTTCTCTTTTTCTAGCTAACTTGTCATTAATAATTACCTTTTGTCAATTTAATATCTTTAGGTTATGTTTGGTGATAGCTAACTTATAAGAGAGGAACAGAAATTTGAGGGAAGGTTCTTCTGCTTCTTCTCTCTTATTTTCTACCAAGCACAGCCTCTGTGAACTTAATTCCTCTATTACATGTTCCTCTGTCATGCAGTCTTTCTATCCAGAACGCTTGGCAAAGTTGTTCCTTTTAAGTATGCCTTGGTTTTTTGTGGGCGTTTGGAGGATGGTTTCCTGCTTACTTGAGAAGGCAACACTAGAAAAGGTTTGTTTTTTTTGCTTATTATTGTTGTTGATGTTGTTTATTATGAACTTGGAATTGATCAGTAAAGTAAATAGAGTCAATGCTCCTAATCAATGTTTTCAAACCATCATTGATCCGGATGGTCAGATTATTCGGTCCAGAAACCGTCCAAGTAACTGGTTCCATTTTACCCCAAACCTAGTTTTGCCCAAAAACCGTTGAAAAAGTCAACAATCCGTTGACCCGGACAATCAAATTATTAACCCATCTACCTGTTTAATGATTTTGACTATTTTTTATTTTTTTTTAATTTATTTATTAGAACGATCCATCTATTCAAACTGGACGATCAAACTGTTGACCCAAAAACTAGTGATCAAAACGGTTCCATTTCTGAATTGTTTTCTTAAAACGTTGCTCCTAACTTTTTAATTTTAGATGGTGTAGATTGTTAGTGTGAGTAATGAAAAAGAGAAAAAGGATTTCATAGAGGAAATTGGAGAAGATACTTTGCCCTAGAAGAATATGGTGGGCGAAGAAAGCTTGTAGCTCTTCAAGATGTAATATTGAGCTATTCTCTAATATAGAATTGAATATGTAACCTTATATTAATTTTTGTTTTTAATCATTATGAAAAAACAAGACTCTAAACATGCCTAACGTTAGGACCGAATGCAGTCTATCCTTCCAACATTTTTTTTCCGGCATTTAGTCAGACGCCCGAACAGCATCACACTCATGGTTTTTAAAATTGACCCGGAGATCGAACCGGTCAGGTCTGATTATCGGGTCAAATGGTCCAACCGTTCTGACAAAAAATAAAAGAATTAAAAAAAAATAAAAAATGATTAAAATCATTCGAATAATTTACCGTCCAATTCAACAGTTCGTTGACTAAAATCATTGATTTTAGGAGAAAATCTGATTTTTGGGAAAAACGAAACTGATCACCTGATTAATTTCCAGTTTTTTCGATCCAACTATCCGGTCCGATCCGGTTTTAAAAACCATGTTCACACTAATAGCTCTCCTCTTAAAATCGGTGGTAACGGAAATCAAATCTGCATTTTCACTGGAACAAACCAGTTAATGTACCAACTGACATCCCTCAGTTAAACAACATTTGGTAATTGGGCTTATCATCATGGAAAAACATTAAACTTAGTGAGGCAAAATTAATTAAATTTCCACATTATTCCTGTATTCCTTGATCTATTAGACACTCTGTCTTTTCTCTGCTTTCATGGTTTTACCGGTTCTTTGTCCTCATCACCTAAATATAATTTTGTTTAATTTCCTTATTCCTTTGTTGAGAAGATTGCGACAACTGCCACAATCAAATATTATATGAGTACTTGCTCTGGGGCTGAAAAAAAATATGTTTCTCTGAATTTGATTTGAATTCAATCCTCTTAATGAGTGACCCGAATTCAATCAAATATAATTGAATTGAATATATGGTTCTATCTCTACCCAATCCAATATAATTCAACTGAAAATATACATGCACAAGTATACTTAAAATTTATATTCTATATATAATATAAAACTGCTTTGGATGTTAAGTGTCATAGGTTTTACTTTTATGGTAGTAAAAGTAAGGTTTATTATAAGGGGAAAAAAAAAAGATAAAGAGATACAAGTGGGCTCAAAAGTCACAACCCGTGAAACCCTAAAGCCCAAAACCACACCTTTACAACTCAAGGAAACAAAAACCGGGCCACAACAAAAAGATAGCCCCAGATATTTTAAACCCACAAATAAAAGCATCTCTGCAAATGAAAAGCAAAAAAAAAAAAAAAAAAAAAAAGAAAACCACCACAAATTATCTGCTTTTACCACCTCTTCGTTGACCTTTAGTACTTTTTCATGCAATTTATTTTGTTCTTAATATACAAGATAAAATTAGATTATTTTATCAATATTTTTTGAATAAAAAATTAGTGAAAATGATGAAAAAATCTATGATGCCAAAAAGATATGGTATTGAAAGAGTTTTGATCAATCAAAATCCACCTATGAATTTGGATAAATACCTTCTGATTGGTATCATGTTTACTGGTTGATTGGTCATAAATTTTTTGAAATATAATTTCTTTCCAGTATCATAGTTGAACCCCAAAATAATAGAGTAGAAAATACATGAAAATTAAGCTGATTGACCCAGTAGCTGAATGATTAATATGAAGTTGTGGGAATCAAACCTGCATTACTTCATGTAATATGATAAAGGTTAATGGGCCTCACGCGCACCCTACTCCATCCCCACTGTTTGATCCTCTAGTTCTTATTGTAAAAAGGTATAAGAGGTTTCAATTGACTATTTCAGCCAGTGGAGATCACTCCAAATTAAATGCTCTATTGACCGGCTGAGTATAGGATTGTCTACTGGCGTAGTGATATCATATTTAGTGGGTAAACAATGCATTAGAGTGTAAATTCTGATTTTTGTATTGATAAATGACAGATCAATACATATTTATATTGATAATAAGATATAGAAGTATATTAATAAAAAAGAAGTAAATTTGTATTCAAGTGAGCTTTTGATAAAAAAAAATATATGTTTTATTGAAATTCGTATTTGTATCTATTACAGCTAAAAATCTGTTTGGTAAGAAGGTAAATTTGTCAATGCAAAACTAACCCAATTTTACAATTTATATGAATCGTTTTACGCTCTACATATTTGCATCGTTTCCAAACACAGCCTAAGTAAATAACCACTAATTATAGTAGATCTTTGATCAATCAAATTTATGTGAATTTTGATGAATACTAGTTTAACTTGAATGAATTTGCATCATTTCATTGAGCCAGTAGAGGATTTGAAGCCGTGGGGATCGAAGGCCCATGTTGGCCCATGTGGGGAAAGCCCATCATTTCAGTAGAGTATCGATACATCTTTAGAGAAGGAAACAAGGCTACAAATTGGATTGCAAATCATGCTCATACTAATGTTGTTTCTTTGTCAAATTTGCCTAGAACTTTAAATTTTATTTCTTTTTCTGACTTCTGGGGACGTGCCACCCCGTGTTGTGTATATTGGCGTGAGCTATCAAACTAGAGAAATTTTAGGATCTCTTGACTGATCCCTTAATTCAAGGGATAATTCTTATTATAGCCGGAGTTAGTAATCCCTAAATTCAAGGGATAATTCTTATCATAGTGATAGTTTGTGTATAGCAAGGAAAAGGAAAAAAGAATAGGGCCTGTATATATATACTCATTCTCCGTAAAGAATAAAAAGGAGAATATCTTTCTTCTACATAAGTTGTCATGGTATCAGAGCATGGTGTGTTTGAAGAGACCCACCAAGTAGGCATCGATAGCTACTTGAAGAGCAGAAACGGTGCTGCTCTAGAAACACAGATCTGTTTTGAAGTCCTGAGCGATCTCACGGACGATACGCTGAAAGGGTAATTTTCGGATCAAGAGCTCTGCGCTCTTCTCTATCCCTCCTTCAATGCCAAACTGAGGAGTTGCAGAACGAACCCCTATTCGAATGGAACCCCTGTACAGCTTCGGTGCTTGACATGCCTGACAACCTGGGTTTCTCCTCAACCAGAAGCGGACCGCCTTCCTCCCACCGAAGTTCGACCAGTCATTGTAGTATCCAGTGACGTCCTGGAACCTGCACAATCAAATAACATTGGATGATTGATCCTCCGCGTGGCTGAAAATTCTCTCTTTTGGAGAAATTTCAGGAGTTCGTCTCCTGTTCCAAAGTGATCTAATTGTCGCTTGATCCGATCCGACCTTCTTCGGATTAACCTTTGGGGAGTCAATAGGAGAGGTTCTCCGTTGCTGCTCCACTAAGTCATTTGCTCTCCTCTCAGTATCGATACTCAATTGTTTTCTTCGTGCAAGTAAACTCGGACTTCTTGCACTACTCTCATTTTGATCAGGTTGAGGTTCTGGCAGACTCTAGGTTTGGATCTGAAATTCGAAAGAGGTAACTCTGTTGCTGTTCTCCCGGACCGGTTGATAGAGCATATCGATCCTTGACAAAGTCTTCTACCTTTCTTTTCCTTTTTTTTTCTTCTTTCCTTGCCAACCATGTCTGATTCAGAAACCTCAGATCCTTCTAGGGAACAACAATCCAACCCTACCTTCACTGAATTAACCACCAGAATGGCTGAAATCCTGAACAGACAGACCTCAACTACAGAGACTCCCGTTGCTCAGATCGACATCAAGTTGGACGGCACCAATTATGCTATTTGGTCCCAAGTTGTTGAGATGTATATCTTTGGCAAAGACAAATTGGGATATATTAATGGCGATCTTCCCCAGCCTCCTCAGATTGGCCCAACCTTCCGGAGATGGCGCACGACCAATGCTATTGTCAAGGGTTGGTTGATTAACTCCATGGACGTATCCTTGATCGATAACTTTATTCGATTCCCTACAACAAAGATGGTGTGGAATTCTGTGGCAGTACTTACTTTGATGGCAGTGATACCTCGCAAGTATATGATCTCTGACGCCGTGTGACCCGCTTGCGACAATCTGGAGGATCTCTTGAAAAATAATATAATGATCTCCAAGGTTTGTGGCGTGAAATTGATTTTCGTCATCCAAATCCAATGGAGTGTGCTGCGGGTATTCAGCGTTATAATAATCTTCTTCAAGAAGAGAAGAGAAGGTGTATATTTTCTTGGATGGCCTTGATGACAGACTTGACAAGATTCGAGCAGATGTACTACAAATGCATCATTTTCCCATTGTTGAACAAGCATATGCACAGGTTCATAGGGAAGCTAGTCGGCAAAAGGTCATGATCACCGGTAACAATATTGAAACTCTAGGAGCTGTTTTGGCTTCCAAAAGTGCTAAAACTAGACAATCTACTCTGTCCTCAACAGGCTCTCTTTCTCTGAGCAACGGAAAATTTGGTATGACCTCTAAATCACAAACATATTCTGATGGAACTAAGTGTTCTCATTGTGGAAATTCAAAGCATACCCAGGAGAATTGCTTCAAACTACATGGCTACCCCGACTGGTGACATGAACTCCAAGCTCGAGTATGATGCTACTGGTGGTAAGGCTGCGATGGTTACAGCAGAACCCCAACTTTCACTCACACCACCTATTGAATTGTCACAAGGAGATGTACTCCTCTCAGACCCAGGTAACAATATTCCCCATAACACTGTTGATAGTAATGCTTGGATACTTGACTCGAGGGCTACCGACCACATGACCATGATGCTACTGATTTTTCAAAAACTTCACCACCAAGACGGGCTACAATCGCTAACGCCAATGGGGTTATATCTCCAGTCACCAGAGCAGGCACTATGACCTTGTCACCTACAATATCTTTAAATAACACTTTGCTTGTTCCCTCTCTCTCCCATAAATTACTATCTGTTAGCCAAATTTCCACTTATCTAAATTGTGTTGTACTCATCTATCATACCTTTTTTCTTTTTCAGGATATTCTCACCAAGGAGATAATTGGGCGTGATACTGGGGGGGGCTCTACTACATGGATGATCTTAGTATGGGTCAAGCACATCTCACACAGAGTAACACCAAAGAACAACAGATTTGGATTTGGCATTGCCGGTTGGGACATCCATCATTTGGTTACATGAAACATTTATTTCTAGATTTATTTACAAATATGCAGCCTTGTGATTTTCAATGTAACACTTGCATTTTAGCTAAGAGTCATAGATCTATCTATCCGTTAAGTATGAATAAAAGTATAGTTCCATTTGCTTTGATTCACTCTGATGTGTGGGGGCCATCCCCGGTAACTACGATATCTGGTTTTCGCTGGTTCGTAATCTTTGTTGATGACTGCACTCGCATGACATGGTTGTATCTGCTGAAACATAAAGATGAAGTGTTGACTGTATTTCAATCTTTTCATATGATGGTTAAGACTCAATTCTCAGCTAAAATTCAGGTTCTCAGGTCTAATAATGGCGGGGAATATATGAATCAACGGTTCCGAGATTATTTCCGGATTCATGGACTAGTTCATGAGACTTCATGTGCACAAACTCTGCAGCAAAATGGCATTGCTGAGAGAAAGAATCGGCACATACTCAAAACTGCTTGTGCTTTGTTACTTAGAGCACATGTACCTCACCGACATTAGGTTGATGCTATTGCTACTACTATGCACCTCCTTAATCGAATGCCATCACGAGTCTTAAATTTTAAGACACCATTACAAGCTCTTTCATCACATGTCTCTCTGCCATCCGTGTTGGTGATTCCACCTCGAATTTTTGGTTGTGTGGCATTTGTACATCTGCATAAAAATCAATGCACAAAACTTGATCCATGTGCAACTAGGTGCTTATTTTTGGGATATGCAGTACATCAGAAAGGATACCGATGTTATGATCCAGCCACCCAACACACCTATGTTACCATGGATGTTACTTTTTTGGAATTTGAAACATTCTACTCTGCTTCCGAATCCAATTCTTTTCTTTAGGGGGAGAATCAGAATGAAGAATAGAATTGGTTTCTACCTGATTGGCTGAATAATAGTGATTCAATAGAAATGGTGGATAATACGGAACATTCTAGAACAAAAATGGTGGTCAATGAAGAACCTTCTACAGGTTCAAGAGAGACATCTACAACACCAGAAACATCTACATCGCCACTTCCAGCTAAAATAGAGTCCCCAACCTCCACAGTACCTGAAGACCCATCTCCTGAGAATATTCCTGAGGCAAATAAAGATATTCCTAAGGTAAACTCTCCTACTACACCTTCAAGCTCTAACGATATGAATACTTCTGCTGGTTACACTTTACCTTTCAGGCATAATCGTGGCAAACCGCCAAATAGATATTCTCCAGACATTGAGGATCAGAGGTCAAGGTATCCAATTGCCAATTATGTATTAACAAAGAGACTCTCCGAACCCCTCAAAACATTTGTGCAAGAATTGTCCTCAAATCATATTCCTACCAGTGTTCAAGAAGCTTTGACAAACCCAAAATGGACTCAGGCCATAAAGGAAGAAATGGACTCAGGCCATAGGGTGTAAATGGGTATTTTCCATTAAATATAAGGCGGATGGGTCGATCGAGAGATACAAAGCGAGGCTGGTCGCAAAAGGTTATACTCAGACACATGGCGTAGACTATCAAGAGACCTTCTCACCAGTGGCCAAATTGAATACGGTTAGAGTTTTATTATCACTTGCGGCAAACCTTGATTGGCCACTACACTAGTTCAATTTAAAGAACGCCTTCCTCCATGGTGATCTTGAAGAGGAGGTGTACATGGACATCCCACCTGGTTACATAGTGAATTCCAATGCCAAAGTTGTGTGTAAACTACAACGAGCACTATATGAACTGAAACAATCACCGTGGGCGTGGTTTGGGCGATTTAGTCTTGCGATGAAGAGATATGGCTTTCAACAAAGCAATTCAGACCATACACTATTTCTAAAGCACCAACAAGGGAAGGTAACAGGCTTAATAATATATGTAGATGACATGATTATCACAGAAAATGATGTAGGAGAAATAACAACACTCCAAAAGCAATTGGCGACTAAGTTTGAAATGAAGAACTTGGGGGGGGGGCTCAAATATTTTCTAAGAATTGAAGTTGCTAGATCAAGGCAAAGTATATTTCTATCTCAATGGAAATACACCTTGGATTTACTAGCCGAAGTGGGACAGTTGGAGTGCAAGCCGACAGACACACCAATTATTCAAAACCATAAACTTGGAGAATACCCAGACCAAGTACCTACCGATAGGAAGAGAGATCAAAGGCTGGTTGGTAAACTTATTTATCTCTCACATACTCATCCAGACATCGCTTACGCTGTCAGCGTTGTGAGTCAATTCATGCATTGCTCAAGCGAAGATCGCATGAATGCTGTAATGCGGATTCTTCGATACTTGAAGTCCTCACCTGGAAAATGACTTATGTTCTCAAAGAATAATCATTTAAAGATTGAGGGCTATACAGGCGCAGATTGGGTGGGAAATATCTTGAATAGAAAATCCACCTCAGGGTACTATACATTTGTTGGCGGGAATCTTGTTACATGGAGAAATATAAAACAAAAGGTGGTGGCCTTATCAAGTGCTGAAGCTAAGTTTCGGGGAATGGCTAAAGGTCTTTGCGAGCTTCTCTGGCTTAGAAGATTAATGACTGAACTTGGTTTCCCCCCAACCTTTGAGATGGACCTATTCTGTGATAACAAGGCCACCATAGATATCTCTCATAATCCTGTCCAACATGATCGAATGAAGCATGTGGAGGTGGACCGATATTTCATCAAACAAAATATCGAAGATAAAATCATTCGATTTCCTTTTATCAAATCGAAAGAACAGCTGACAGATATACTTACAAAAGCTGTATCTAGTAAAGACTTCTACAACTCACTTGGCAAGTTGGGCATCCAAGATTTGTATGCACCAACGTGAGGGGGAGTATTGGCGTGAGCTATCAAACTAGAGAAATTTTAGGATCTCTTGACTGATCCCTTAATTCAAGGGATAATTCTTATCATAGCCGGAGTTAGTAATCCCTGAATTCAAGGGATAATTCTTATCATAGCCGGAGTTAGTAATCCCTGAATTCAAAGGATAATTCTTATCATAGTGATAGTTTGTGTATAGCAAGAAAAAGGAAAAAAGAAAAGGGCCTGCATATATATACTCATTCTCCGTAAAGAATAAAAAGGCGAATATCTTTCTTCTACATAAGTTGTCAGTGTAACCCCTCTTCCTGTTCTATCAAAAGAAAAAAAGAATGAAATACAGGCAAATGACCTGATCAAACTGGTTGACCCATCACTCCCAAACGGGATTTCCTATTCACTTTTCTTACCCACTCTCTATTCGTCGTGAATTGCAGCCACACATCTCTATTATGAATTGAGAGATGTGTGGCTGTAATTCATGACGGGTAGAGAGTGGATAAGAAAAGTGAGTAGCAAATCTGGGTTCCATCACTCCTGCATTATTTCTGGGTCCATTCCACCCCTTAAAACTGTTAAGCTGCAGAAAAACATTGACTTGATCAATAACTTGATCCAGCTTCATGGATCAGACATACTTTTCTGTATATTTTACCCATTTTCATCATTAATAACAATATTTTTCATTTATGAAACTTATTTTATAAGTATTTGATATTAAAAATATGCTTAAATTTGTTGTAAATTTTCTATATTATTTATTTTTCAATTTATAACATCACATAAGATTGACACGTTTGATGCAAGACCAAACATCCCGACGGAAAATCAAATCCTTTTCTGAGTTGGTTTTTAAAACACTGACAACTCTTTTTTCTTTAAAAAAAATCTTACTCTCCCTTTTAAAAATAAGGGAATCTTCCTTTCAACGGATGAATGTTAGATTTAATATCCATCGTCAAATGACGAGGACGATTCCTCCTTTCCAAAAGGAGCAAAAGTGAACTCAAAAGATAAAGCGTGATGCTACAATGAACTTGCTTTGAGGTCCTTCAAGCTTTTCCCTTTATTCAGTCGTCGTAAACTCGTAATTGTAACCTACGAGCAGAGGTTTTGAACCCCATCAAATCTAGAATATCACCTGTCAACAAGTTTAAAATATCGGATAACTTTCAGCCATCTGAAATAAACATTAAGACCCAACAAATGACAAGCACCTCAGCATTTAAGTTCTTGAAGCAAACATCCCAATAAGGTGAGGTCCGTGAATAGATTTTTATTCTTAACATGTCTCCTCGTTTGAAATCTCATTGGACTTGAAGTGTGGACAAGTCCAGATTCACTTATACCCTATGCTGCTGAAATTTGATAGTTGCAATTTTCCCATTAACTTAAAATCCTCTAACAAAAACACAAAAATGTCTAAAATATCGATGAAATTACTATTGAGGCTGGTTTTATAGAAAAAAAATATAAAATTTATAAACAATAAAAGAAAGAGAATTTAAAATTGCAGTTTTACCTTTGAGGGGTTGATATGAAGAATAAATTTGAAAAACAAATCTATTTCAGAAAAGAGATTGGAAGGGTTTGGGCTAATCATTCATATGAGGAAAAAATTAGAAAATAAACATCTTAGTCAAAAGTAATTGCATAGGTATTTTAGACATTTTCATGATTCCAATAAAACGGGTCTAATTGCAACTATATTAGAAAGTTTAAGGGAGATGATTGTAATTACCAACCTTCAGGAGAGGTTTTAACAACAACAAAAAACTTAAAGGGAAGTTTCAGAAATTTACACTAATTTTAATTAAGCATAAATGGGGGCGATGGGAATCAAACACTTGACCACTTGGTCAAAAAGGTGTTGATACCATCTTAAATAACTATTCACCCCAAAAGTTCACGGTTAAAGGTGTAAATCGGGTTGTGCTGTGCTGGCCTGCGGGCCATCCCGGGCCGTGCCACCCTCCCCGGGATAACTTGGGGGGTCGGTCCGACATGGCCCACGGCCCAAGCCCATGCGGGCCCATGCTGTGCCATGGGCCGGGTTGGTAAGCCTTGGGCCAGGCCAGGCCATGGACTGGGCCAAAGTTATTTATTTAAAAAATTTGAAAAAAAAACTTGAAATTTTAATTTTATATGAATTTTGATGTATACAATTACTTATATATACAATAATTAAATAAATTAATATAATAAAATTGAAAAAATTTGCTTATTTTATTAATATATTATAAACTATATATTATTATATAATTATAATTTATATAAATATATTATATATTATATATTATATATAAAACATATATAAATAATATATATGGGCCATGCTGGTTGTGCTAGGTTGGGCATGGGTTGGGTCATGCTGGCACGTAGGCCACGAGCGGCATGTCCCGCTTGGTTGTGCTATATCGGCCCAACCCGTGGACCTAAAACCCCAGACCTAGTATAACCCACATGATCATGCCAAGCCTGAAACATCCCACGTGCCATCATACTGGATCATAGGTGGCACAGCTCGGTTTATACCTCTACTTACGGTTCAACCTAGCTAAAAGCTTAAGCTGTTAGGTGAGGTTTCTAAACAGGTTTTTTATTCTCTAACACTAAATAATTCATGGTCTTCAGCACAAATGTGGACAGACTTGAATTCATGAAGCAGAAACTTCTGTCATCTAGCACAGTACGAGAGTTTGCTTATTAAATTCATACTTAACCATTAAGAAATTCAAAGCAATAAATATGCAATTTTTTTTTTTTCAGTTGTGAGGTGAGATGGTTATTCAAAATTAAACTTCAAGTGGACAAAATCGTATCTTCTTCAAAGTTCCATGTATCTCATTTTCCAAGACAAACTGCCTCTCTTTCTCATCTAATTTACCATGTAGTTTGTTTGCAGCCAAAGGAAACACTATTCATTTTTCCCACTATTTTCCTACCAATTGCATCACAGTTTGGATGTGTACGAGGGTTCTTCTCAATGAATGCACGTTTTTCTGAACAAAAACCAGCATTTTTCTTCTGGTAAGACTTGCAATGACAAGTCTGAATCGGGCACATGGTGGATGAAGCTCTTGTGCCCCAGAGATATAGCTAATCACTATAGTTCTACTCCCCCTTTCAGCAACAGTAAACGGAGCTCACCATGAAATGACTCTAAATTTTTGAGATCACGATTTACCTTGGTTATGGATTCTAACATTAGCTAACCTTTCAATGCTAAATCAAATTTGTTTCTTCATATTTGGGTCCTAGCACTATCATACCAAGACTTACCCCATCCCACAATAGCAGTAACAGAAGGCTTCTCTTTGATTATATCTATTTATTATCTCTGTATCCTCCCTCCTACCAAAAACATCAGAATCATCAACTAAAGAGCTACTATATAGTTTCATTCATATCAATTATTAATGGAACATTAATTTTGCAGTTTCCATCTGTTTTTTTTTTTTTTTTACCTTTCATTCCTTTATCTGACCATGTACCCATCAAATAGTGAGGTCCAAACTTCTTTTCAATCTCAATTAGCTTTTCCTCAGTTTCAGTTATGATGGGTGAAATCTCATGGATGCTTAGAATTTGCTCTACATTCAATGAAAATTACAAAAATAGAGGTACCTGACTTCTCTTTCTACTTTGGGTTCTTTCAATTCTCTCTTTGAGAGCTTCCATACATGAACTTGTCGTCATCCATGTGAAATGCCACATACTGAAAATCCATGTTGCGAATTCCCAACTGTAAATTATTTTTTTTCCTTGCCTCTGAAAAGCTAGTCATTGGATGAACTCCCATATATAAGTGTGTTAGTTTATTCAACTCGTTAATTTTCAATTTTCCACAATGATCTGAAATTCCCCAAGTGCAGGGGAGGCCAATTTGTCAAGCATGGTCTGCATCAGTGAAGAATTAATGCAACATTAGCTAGCTGCTTTATCTTCTATTTCTTCTTACAAGGATGAACACCAGAAATTTGGCTATGTTTTCTTGTATGAAGAAGGATGTATACGGTCATCAAACCAGTATTTTTAAATTCATTTTCCCTAAAAGGTGGAAGAAAAGTAGAAATGTTATCAAGTTAACCTCCATTACTGCCACTCTCTGCTGAATCCAATTGCATTTTGACATCTCTTTTGTCATTTTGAGGAAAAAGAACCACCTAGTAGTACTTGAAGGTCCCCACCATGGTGAGGTTTTCCATCAACTGGTAGTGAAAATGACTCTTATCTCAACCCATCTCTCACCTAAATTATTCTTGTACTAGAAAGTTCAACTTCAATGAACCCGACCTCATACTAAGAGATTGATGACAGGTCCACCTTGTGGTGTGTAGTGGTTTTATTTCTGTTTTTAACCCTTCCTTACCTAGCAGGGTCATATACAGGAAAAGAACCTTTTTCCTTGGTGAGCAAGAAGAATAAAACTAAAGCTAGCAATAGCATTGGCTACATTACATTAAAAGTTGCAATTCATGAGGCATTCCTAGTCAGATTCAATTATCTGGTTTATACTGGGGTCTTTTTGTTTTCTTCTTTCCCAGAGCCCCAAAATTTATTCAAGGTGGAGGAATGGCCACCTTAAATTTTACTAAAAATTCAGAAAACACAGTTTACATTGGGTGTCTCTATATCATTACCTCGGAGACAAGACTAGTTAGGTTCTGTACTTCAATGAAAAGAAACTAGAATACTACAATATGAAGTTGCTTGTTGCGACGGCATTCTGTTCATGCTACGCCGAGGTATCTTTTTGAATGCAAGATTCTGCTTGGGTATTGGCAAGCAACCTTGCCAAATTCAACATTCTCTTGAAGCTGCTTTGGTTATAAATGGATATGTTTCAAATGAATTCTCTGCATTCTGCTATTCACCTTATAACACGCTTATCATTCTCTGTTCTTTCTTCTTTTGTTCTTGCTAGAGACCTCCAAGCTTCTTTTGTGGAGCTCTTTAGCATTTCTGGTGAGCTTGTGTCCTATACATATTGTTTTCTTGTTTCTGGTTTTTTATGTATCATTCAGTTCTTTCTTATTGTAGTTTAATAGATTGCTTATTATTTGGGATTGACTTGTTTAGCTTTTGGTCCAATTTGCTCTTCCTAGACATTGATCAATGATTTCACTTTTTTTGTCACTTTCATTCATTTTATGTTGATGTTAATTGTTATGACAATTTAAATTACTAGAACTTCAAGTCTAATACACATTTTGGACCCTTCACAAGGCATTCTTGTTGTTTCAGTACCCAATAAATGATCATGAAGAGTTATTCCCTATTGATGATTTGATTTTTGATAATTTTGTCTATTTATTATGCTAATACTTTCCTGTTTTGCTTTACTTAATTAGACTATTTCATTTAAATAATTGGAATTAAAAAATCTGTATGCATGAACAACTGAAGCCAAAATCTTCCTGATTTGTATAGAAACAAGAAGATGATTTGGAGCTTCTTGATCACCTTTTTGGTTGTATTTGATTTGTTTTTTTTCTAGAAATACCTTAAAGAGACATCAATATGTCACATCCTCTATTGGAATTTATTAGAATTTACATTTTCCTCTACCCCATAGAACAATGTACAAACCCAATGATATCTGCCTAGTATAGCTAGTCATGGTCTTTTCTTATAAATTCACAAGGGTGTTATGGTAAATAGGAGGAAATTATATTTCCTTAAAGATGGTCTTTACTACCTCTCTTATTTGCTTTTGTTTTTACTGTTATGGTTTACTAGCTTCTTGACCAAACACAGTATCCGCTTTTTCATTATTTCAAGTTGAATGCTTAACTGATTAATTTTTCCTAAAAACCATGGACAACTAAACACTAACATCTATTAATCAATTTAATTTTTCCCTTTTGATTATTAAATAATATATAATAGAAAAGCTACAAAATAAAAATAAAGAAAAGTACACGAAAAAAAAGAATATATCTTAGTCTAATGCTCCTTTTGAGTCAGATAAAAGGCAGTATCTTACGACTTCTGACCTCAGCCCACAACCTCGTTGAACCAAATTTTAACTTGATCATGGCCTCATGGGCTTCTTTTAAATATAGATTCTTAGAAACCTAATTAGGCATTATACCATTACTGATCAAGTCTTTCAGTCTCTCACCAAATAAAGAAAATATCAAAATCCTTTCTTTCTTGTACATTGAGAAAACCCCAATAATATAGTAATTAATATTAGCTTCCAAGTAGAATCTTTGAACATTTAAGAAAGAAAAGGAAAAGATTAATAATATGAAGTATCAAAATCCTTTCTTATTCCAATCTTGGATTTTATTCATAGACCTAATCTTCATAAGGCTTTATTTTGTTTTGTGAATAAAATAAAATTTATAAACAGAAGAAAAAAGAGATCAACAGAGAAATAATATAGAGCTTGAAACCTTGAGCCCAAAACACCAACAAAAAACAGGGTTCAAAATAATCAATATTTTGATTGTTATATTTCACTGTCAATGAGCTATAACATTAACAAATCTATCTTTGTATATGTTTCATTTTGATCACTGCATAGTAAATATCTTTTTCATTAGATGATTATATATAACAAATGGAGGTTAATTACATCCAAATTATTGAACAGTTATAGTGTTTCTAGCTAGGAATTGCAGAAAATGGGCAAAACACTTCAGATCTTCGGATTTCCTTCTAATGTCACCGCGAAAGAGGTTAAGGATTTCCTTGAGAAGTATACAGGACAAGGAAGCATTTATGCAATAAAGATCAGGCAGTCCAAGGTTGAAAGTGCAGGAGCATTTGCAATAGTTCAGTTTACAACTATTGAGAATACCAAGGCTAAACACATATTTGCTAAACGACTACGCTATAAGAATTCCAAACTGAGGGCTCAAACCATGGTAAATGATATTGTATCCAAATCAATGGTGACAATGTTTAACTTGGAAAATGTAGGTTTGCACTTCGGCTGTCAAGTTTCAGATGAAAGGTTTTCAGTTCTTTGGAAATGCTACAATGTCGAAGTGAGCTTCGGATTCGGTCTACAAAAGTTATTCTTCTACCTATCCCATTGCGATGTGAGGTACAAACTAGAGCTATCTTCTCAGAACATTCGGAGAATTCAGCTACGTCATATACATGGTCAATTAAGGAAGTTCCTTTTAATTCAGGTACGCTTATTGTTAAAAGATACATGCATATATATATATATATGTATGTTGAATTACATAGCTAGTTTTCTTCAATTTTTTTTTTTTTTTAGTTTAGAAAATAGAAATCAAATTGTTATCATTAATTAGAAGAATCATTTTTAAATTTTAATCCCATTAATTAATTTTTTTTTGTGACAAGCAGTTAGTTTATAGTTTCATACTATATGATTAGATACTATAATTTCAGCTAGTAATAGGACATAAATAGTAATTAAAAAAAAAACCTTGTGCACTGAATTCCTCCAATTAACCAACCAAGGTTCAAACTGTCAACATGGGTGATATGCAAAAAATTGCATTTCGCACCATTCTTAGTGATGAGAAATGGTTCCTGGTTTAAAGCTTTGAATATGGTCTTATCTAAGTTTTTTTTTTCCTGGTATTTAATCATATGCCTGAATCCGCCATAGGGGCAATATTTATTTATTTTTGGGAATAACACGGCAACACACTAATAACTTTCCTCCAAAATCAGTCATAGTGGGAATCAAATCCGCACATATCGTTTGAAACAACCCTGTACCAACTGAGCCACCCCTCAATTGGCATTTAAGAAGGGTATTAGGCATTGTACATGGTCACATGTCCTAAACCTCCAACCCCGAAACCCCTGTTAAGGAAACCGTTCAACCTAAAGGCTTTAAGCTGAAGGTGAGATCACTGAATAGATTTTTATTCTCTAATACCCCCAACCCCAATGCAGGATTCAATTCCAAATCTCCCCTGCAACCAGAGCCAGAGATCATTAATGTCACAGATGGTGAGATACTGGCATATCAATACACCACTGCTGTAACTCTAATTCAACAACATGCCTGTTAGACACCTTTTTTTTTTTTTTTTTTTAAAGAAGGGTTAGCATGATTTGAACCAAAGTTGCCCACGATCTAGACTTAAATGCACTTTTAACAACTAGGCAACCATTCATTTTATACTAATGAATTAAATTACTTTTATTAACTTTAATGTCCACATTTCATATAGAATTTAAACAAATAACATATATCCAACAATTCTAACTATAAATTAAAAAGAATATTATTCAAAAGTAGTATTTTATAAATTAATAAAATATATGATTTATCAAATCCATATTTATATTAGAAAATGATTTTCAATCTCAAGAAATTCATTTCAATAAAAATATTAGTAATAGATTAAAATTTTTATAAATTATTAACTAATATTTTAATTTTCAGCAAACAAAAACTTATTTATTATTTACAAAAATAGTTTTTTACAAAACATTCAGGAATATAATATAAATTGGATCTATCAAATCCACTAATTTGAATTTAGACATGTTGCTTTGGGCCTGATTTTACACTGTATCGGGCTCGGGCCCGTTGGAATTTTTGCAAAAGCCAAGCCCGAGTGCGGCCCACGAGCAAATCTATCTGCATTTATTTCAAAATTTTGATTTTTTGATTTTTAAAAATTTATAGAAAATAAAAATATTAATGATGAAAGTTATTTTAGTAATTAAAATTTATGAATTTGCATATGGTATGTATCTTCTAAAGATTAATAAATTTGATATATTCTAAGTTAAGATTACATGCATATTTTTATAAACTACTATTGATATTTTATAATAATATATTTATTTTTACACAAATAAAAATATTGTTTACCAAACATTCAAGAAATAATTTTTAGTTGACTTTTTTTGTTAATGTTAAAAATTAAAAAAAGTAAAATAGAAAATAATTGATATAATAATTCAAATATAATAGGTGCATGAAATTATATACCTTTGACTTCAATAAAAAATAAAATAATAATTAGTGCATGTTTTAATTTTTGAAAATCTATATAATATGTACCTTGTACTCTTGATTGATGCATTATCAATAAATTTGTATGATATTTATGTATCCCACTATATTAATTATAATGTGTTTCCCCACATATATATATATATATATATATATATATATAATTATATACACTATTAGAATATATATTTTCTATGTATTTATTTATTATTAATAGCTATTTTGACATTAAATTTAATATTATTAATATATTTAAAGAATTTATATACATTTCCCTAATATATATACAGGTGTCTTTATATTTTCTTTGTGTTGACATCCATGCATTCCCAATACGTATTGGTATCTGTGTCCAATTTAGTTACACCACATAAAAATATTTCTTTGATATTTAACTTGTTCATGCTTGAACCATGAACCTTGAAACATATCCAACAGCAAGAATGTTGACATAAACCTTATCTGTTACAATTGTAGCTGTTCGGTGCCCCGCGAATTTATGAGAAAATTTTACAGTCTTCAGAACCCACCATTCATGAAGAATCTGCGTCAGACTATTATAAATACAATATTCCTGATGATCAGTGGGTAAGAATAACTGATTTTACTCCATCATGCTCCATTGCACAATCTTCCTGCATCTGTTTGCAACTTCCACACAATTGCCCGCTTCCAAACATTCGTGAACTGTTTTTCTACTACGAAAAGAATGAAGATCGATTTGCTTTAGAAAATGGTTCTTCTTTCTGTCGCAATTTGGATCTAGTCCCCATTGTTCAGCCTCCTGACGGAATTAAGGTGCCATTTGATATTCTCTACAAAGTTAGTTCCTTGGTTCAACATGGCTACTTATCAGGGCAAACACTGGATCGCCAGTTTTTCAGCTTGATAGATCCTCGATCAACACCCAGAGCTGATATAGAACAAGCCCTTAATGATTTGTACCGCGGAGACGAATGTTTCTATGAACCTGTGAAGTGGTTGAGAAATCAATACAAGAGGTATCAGACATCGAAGAATGTGCCTAAGACTCCTCGGATTTCGTTGAGCTCTGGCGTGGTGTATCTTCGTAGAGTTCAAGTTACCCCTTGTAAGGTTTACTTCTACGGCCCAGAACCCATTGTCTCCAATCGTGTTTTACGCCATTATCCAGAAGAAATTGATAATTTTATCCGTGTTGCATTCGTTGATGAAGAATTAGATAAAATCTTTCCAATGGACTTGTACTCATCACGTAAATCTTCTGCAAGCGATGATGACAAATACACGGGAATTTACAAGAGGCTGCTTTCTGTTTTGAAAAATGGTATAGTCATTGGTGATAAGAAGTTTGAGTTTCTTGCTTTCTCCCCAAGTCAGCTGCGAGAAAATTCTGTGTGGATGTTCGCTTCAACAAATGAGCTTACTGCAGATAGCATCAGGGAATGGATGGGCGATTTTCGTAACATAAGAAATGTGGCAAAATTTGCAGCAAGGCTGGGTCAGTCTTTCAGCTCATCCATTGGAACTTTGAATGTGAATAGCGGTGAATTTGAAGTTATTCCCGATGTTGAGATTGAAGGAGAGAACGGAACCACGTACGTTTTCTCCGACGGAATCGGCAAGATTTCTGTTGAGTTTGCACGCAGAGTGGCAGCTGACTGCAATCTCAAGGATTATACTCCTTCTGCCTTCCAAATTCGGTATGCAGGTTATAAGGGTGTTGTAGCCTTGGACCCAACATCCACAGCGAAGCTATCGCTGAGGCCAAGCATGGCCAAGTATGATTCAGAGACCACGAAACTAGACGTCCTGACATGGAGCAAGTTTCACCCATGTTACCTCAACCGTCAAATAATTGTTCTGTTATCTACCCTCGGCGTCGAAGATCAAATATTTGAGAATAAACAAAAAGAGATTGTAGAGCAGCTGGACTTGATTTTAACAGATCCTTTCGTTGCACGAGAGGTGCTTGATATTATGTCTTTTGGAGAGAACACCAGAGTTCTCAAGGAAATGCTCAAATGCTATAAGCCTGATGCTGACCCATATCTTTCGAGGATGCTGCGGACTTTTCGCCTGTCAAAGTTTTTGGATCTTCGGACTAGGTCAAGAATATTTGTTCCACATGGTAGAGCAATGATGGGGTGCCTTGATGAAACAGGAACCTTAGACTACGGGGAAGTATTCATTCAAGTTTCTTCTGTTGGATACAGACAATTCAATGATAGTTCTATCTTTACATTTGGGGGAATTGAGTTAAGCCAGCAGACATGTATCGTGACGGGGACAGTAGTAGTGGCAAAAAATCCTTGCCTTCACCCTGGAGATGTGCGTGTTCTTTGTGCTGTTGATGTCCCAGCTTTGCATCATATGGTGGACTGTCTTGTTTTTCCAAAGAAGGGAGAGAGGTCAGTAAAATTAACTGTTTGATTGATTAATGTTTTGCAATTAATCTTGGGCTACTCTTTATTCCATAATCACTATCAATGTTTTTATTAAATGAGAAGCTTGCATATACCAAAAGATAGAATGCAACATAACAAAGCTTCTTTCTGCAACTTGAATAGCCCGACAGTGATTTCTGGTACCAGTACTTTGAATACCATAGAATTTGTGATCAAATTCATTCTCAAGTTGTAATATAAGTTGAATTGTGATTTCTTTTATTCAAAGTATCATATTCTTCACTTAGTTTTTTTGCTACTCATTAATTTTAGTTGAATATTGATTCTAGACCACATCCAAATGAGTGCTCTGGAAGCGACTTGGATGGTGATGTATACTTTGTCAGCTGGGACCCTTTGCTCATCCCACCCCGTCAAGTGCAGCCCATGCATTATACTTCAGCACCAAATATCCAACTGGATCATGAGGTTACAATTGAGGTATTAGTCATTCATATCATCATTTGTCATCAAATTGTTTTCTGCATTAATTTAGGAAATATATATCATAGTTGTTTAGTTTTTCAAGACTAATTGATAATCACATATCAGAAATCAGGTTTACTAAATTCAGCAAAAATAACTATAATTAAACATCATTACTATTTAATTTCTATCACATAGAGTTGAAAATTAGGCTGGAGCAATAGTACTAATTGGTCTTTACTGTGGTTGTTTTAGATGGGAATCACTTAAAATGGAAATTAGTAATGCTATCTTATGGTTTTCAAAGCGCAAATGCAACCATATCTGCATTGATATATAATAAACATTAAGTTGCTCAGATTCTTACTAAACTTGATCCTTGAGAGTGAATGATATATAGAGGCCCTTTTGTTCTATATATATATATATATAGTGATATATCACACAATCATTTATTTATTTGGTTTAGGAAGTTGAGGAGTACTTTGCAAACTATATGGTTAACGATTGCTTGGGAGTAATGGCAAACACCCACACAGTCTTCGCAGACAAGAGGGAGCTTAAGGCTGAGAGTGATGAATGCTTAGAGCTTGCTAAGCTATTTTCAATTGCTGTTGACTTCAATAAGACTGGTATTCCAGCTCGTATCCCCTCTCGTCTGCATGTCAAGGAATACCCAGATTTCATGGAAAAGCCCAACAGAGACACTTATGAATCACAGTCTGTGATTGGAAAGCTCTACAGGGAGATAAAAGATGTTGCACCAAAAACATTCTCTCTGGAACCTTTCACTCGAGAGATGGCAAGTAAGTACTACGATCGTGACCTGGAGGTTGATGGCTACAGGGATTACATTGATGATGCTTACGAGTGCAAAGCAGAGTATGATTACAAGCTGGGAGGCCTAATGGAGAAATATGGGATCAAAACTGAGGCAGAGCTAGTGAGTGGAAACATAATAAATGAATCCAAGTCTTTCCAGAAACTCAAGGATCCGGAGGAAATTGGATTGGCAGTGAGGTCCCTTAAAAAAGAAGCGAGGGGATGGTTTACTGGGAAGTCCACCAACTCAGATTCTCAGGAAGCCAAGGCGTCGGCTTGGTATCATGTAACATATCACCCAGATTTCTGGGGTTGCTACAATGAAGGAAAGAATTGGGATCATTTCCTTAGCTTCCCCTGGTGTGTCTGTGATGAGCTACTTCGTATCAAGAAAAAGAAGATGACTGCCCCACCCACCTCGGCACCACCGCGACGTCGACGTCGCAGGTCCAGGCATGCTCAGAGGAAGCAATGAACACATGGATCACTGTATATACCCACATCACCTTACAATAAGTTCATTCATGAACATCTATTCATCAATTGTGTAATTATTTGTGCTCCTGAATAAAAGAATAGAGAGCAGCTAAACAGACCCATTAATGTTTGCTCCAGATTTTGATATTTGTAATTATATTCAAGTAATTAAAACTAGTCAAAGATGTGTCTATATATTATGAACCCAAAATTAATCATTGATTTGTGATGATGCACAATCCGATCGGTCTTACCTGCTGGTAACCTTGCCTCTGACGGGGCTGAAGATGCTTGAAACAAGGGAGAAATTGGAGATTTCCGGGGAGGAACCCGATGGGAATACTACGAAGCTCAAGTTAGCACTCTTGAGAAGGCAAGGAAAATTGAAGGTTTCAAGACCAGAAAGCACAAATATCACATACCTCTTTCTCTGGGGGAAGAAGGACTTTTATAACCATCTGGTGCACTCACTCCTAAGTTTCTGCCAAGTCAGGTATAACCGCCTCTGTGGTGGGGGGGGAGGGGGGKAGACATAACCGCCACTGTCCTCTCTATCAGGGCTGCCTCTACCACAACTGAGATGGCGGTAGCAGGCGACCGTTACGGCGTGATTGCCATCTGTCAGATCCAGACCGGTCAGGCGTGCTGCCTTAGAGTACGGACTTGTCAAGTACAGTTGCGTGACCTGGAGCCGAGGTGCCGGAGTGGCGTGCAAAGTGAAACCTTGAGTTCGGATGAGAGTATGTCCTACTGTCCCGAGGTGCCGGCATATGGCCTGGACTGACCCGAGGTGGGCTAGTCTGGGCTTTGCCCCTCGCGGGCTTCTTTGTTAACCTCGGGATTCTTAGGGAGAGCTTGGGTTTCTCCTCCCAGGAAGTGTGGGTTCCTTTTGGGGAGATCAAGCCTTTCCTTGGGGAGCTCGGGAGCTCGGACCCCTTATTGGAGAGCTTTGGGAAGCTCGGGCCTCTTCTTGGGATATGGTCATGCTATGTCATTGTGCCGAGCTGGCATTCCCGCCAGGTCACCCCGTTTTCTTCCACGTGTCGCACAGCCAAGGGGTCGGGCCAGATCTACCTCCATCAATTACCCCCCACTCCCCATGCCCGGGGTCTTGACTTGGCGTGGGGAGTTCACGGACTGACGGGTGGATTTGCTCCGTGGCGTGCTTAGTCCAGTTCGAAGATTCCCCAGTCTGACCCGCCTACGTTCTTGGCTCAACCGGGGTCAGTGCGACTCGACCAGAGTCAGCCCGAGTCACGTATAGCTTACGCATAGACGTCAAACGATTTATCAACTATTAGACGTCAAAAATTCGTGCTAAACTGATTTCACCTCGGGGGTCGTGCAGCCGGTTTTCTTGAGAGCCGTTGGATGGCTTTGATCTCGACCGTTGATGCGGGTACAACGGCTATAAATAGTGAGGTCCCAGGTCACTTTTCCTTCGCCAATATTCAGCGATCGTTCCTTGAGCTCGCGTCCAAGGTCCTCAGCTCGTGTCACTTTCCCTAGTTTGGTAGCGTTCCCTTGGTGAGTCCCCTTAGCTTTTTCAATTTCCTTTCCTTTCCTTTTGCGATGTCTAGTTCGAGTAGTTCGGGTAGCTTAGATAATCTCTTAGATGGGCTTGAGGCAGAGACCTTGGGTCGGGCTGACTCTATTGACAGCCTTCTGGATGAGCCCGAGGTAGGGCCTTCAGCCCAGGTTACCCCGGGTAGTCTAGAGTCCACTTCTCATCGGGTTCGGATGCCAGATACGTTCGGACCCTCCACTATGACGTCTGAGAGACTTCGGTCCCTTGTTCGTCAGTTCAACCTGCCCGGGGAGTATGCATATAGCTTACCTTCGGGCAACTTCCCTTGGGAGCATGATCCAAATGAGATCGTTGTCTTCCAGGAGCAGCTCATTGCCGGGATGCGCCTTCCTCTCCATCCCCTAATCGTCGAAGTCTTGAACCACTTCGGCGTCTCATTCGGTCAGCTTCACCCGAACTCTATTCGCAACGTCGTCGGGACCATATCCCTCTGCTGCAAATATGTTATTCCTTTGGACTTGGAAATTTTTTCTGCTCTTCTCATGCTCAAGAAACAAGCGAGCTTCCTTCCCGAGCACCGGCGGGCTTACTACCTGTCTCCCCGCCCGGGATTCAAACTTCTTCACAAACTTCCAAACAAGGTCCCGACGTGGAAGCGGGACTACTTCGTTGTCCGAAGTGCTACGGGGTGGCCGTTTCCTACTCAGTGGAGGGCGGCTGTCCCTGATCCCGGCGTCATGTTAGATAAAGACATGGCAGAGACCTTTCAGTCCTGGGCCCAGGTCGGGTTCGAGTGCGAAGAATACCTTTCAGAAGCTAAGCTTATTCAGGCCGGTCTGAGTCCGGGTAGGCTTCTTTACTTAGTTTTTTTTTTTTT